TATACACATATATATATATATATATATATATATATATATAGTATATATATATATATATATATATATAATATATATATATATATATATGTGTGTGTGTGTGTGTGTGTGTGTGTGTGTGTGTGTGTGTGTGTTTATATGCATGTAAGTATATACATTTATATATATTATGTATATATATTAAATAAATAAATAAATAAATAAATAAATAAATAAATATATACATACATATAAATATATATATATATATATAATATATATATATATATATATATATATGTATATGTAATATATAGTTTTCAAATGTAGACTTTCCCAAGTAATATAGTATTTTGTGGATATATATCTTTCTTACGCCTTTTCTTCGCTCTGCAATTTACATTCTCCATCCCTTCCCATCCCCTCTCTCCCATCTCACCCTCCTTCCCTGATCCCCCCTCCTTTCCCCCCCCCCTTCCTTCCTTCGCCAAACTCGTCTCCTTTCCTTCCCCCTCCCCCCCCCTCCCCACCTCCCTCCCCTCCCTTTCCCCATTCCCTCCCTCCCCTCCTTTCCCTATCCCCTCCCTTCCCCTCCTTTCCCCTCCCCTCCCTTCCCTCCCTCCCCTCCTCCCTCCTTCCCTCCACCAGAGCAACGTGGGCATCGCGCTCTCCGACATCCTCCAGCTGTTCCCTCAGTGGGTCGTCCACATCCTGATCGTCGTCTGCCACACTCTCATCACCTTCTTCCTGCCCGTGCCCGATTGCCCGACGTTAGTGCTGTTCTATTATTATTATCATAATTTCTTTATTATTATTTTTTTTTTTTATTATTATTATTATTTTTTTTTTTGGGGGGGGCAAGACATAACAAACACCGTGAAATAGCAATGTGTAAACATATAAAAACACTAAATAACGACGACAAACAACATATCAAACATAATCAACAAGGAACAGAATCTAAACAACAAACAAAACAACAGTCAGACAACTTAGCATAAACAAACAAACAAATAAACAAGCAACAAAAACAAAAACGATAATATACTAACAGCAACCGATTAAACATAAACAGCGCATAAAAAACATCAAGCAGTTGGAATAAACAACAAAACACAACAAAATAATAACTACAACCAACCAAATATAAGCAAACGCAAACAACAAAAAGTCAACAGCAATTAACACTTGGACCCCCCCCCCCCGCCTCTTGCTTATTAATATTAATGAGCTCGTTACCCCTTATGTGTGTTTTTTTCTTTTTTTTTCACTTTTTTTTACGCATCTTAAACTTTCATTTTTTCGTACATCGACTAATATCAGATTAAATAAACGAATAAGAAATGAGAGAAATTATTTGATTAATGAGTCATAGATGGTAATGAAAGGATAAATGTAAGAGAATTTAGTAGATGGATGATATATAATGATTAAGGAGAGTTGATTGATAATCAATGATAAGGAATAATTGATAAATTGCAGTATATGAAGACATGGTTGTAAACACAGCATCGAACTCAGAGATTACGGGCCTAAAATCTATCGAAAAAACTAAAATGAGAATTCACATTTTTTACATGGTGTTAAAGTGACATATTTCGTATTTGAGTATAAATACTATTACAGATGATACATTTCGTGGTGTGATTTAATATACAGTAGGTCTTATAGTCATATATACGCAAATAGAAGACGGAACAATACAAAACAAAACATTTCGTATTAAAATAAATAACAGACGTATCGAGAGATCAAGCCATATTTCATACTAAAAAAGGAAGAAAAAAACACAACAGGACATATAACAACTCAATTTCTCCCTCACCCATTCTCCCACAGGGGCTACCTAGGTCCCGGGGGCGTCGCTCTCCTGCAGGACGGAGAACCGAGTCCCCAGTGCATAGGCGGCGCAGCGGGAGAAGTGGACCGCTGGCTTCTGACGGCGTCCCACATCTACCAGAACCCGACGGCGAAGGGAGTCTACTCGTCGGGGGCTTTCGATCCTGAGGGAGTTTTAGGTAAGGGCGGGAATAACTACTACTCTTTTTTCTTCTTACTTTCTCACTCACTCTCTTCACTCCAGACAATCAGACCGTCTTTCTGTTTGTTTGCCTTTAGGTCAGTCAGACAAACGGTCAGTCAGTTGGTCAATCAGTTATCAACTATCCAGTCAGTCAATTAGTCACTCACTGACCCCCCATCCCCTACTTACTCACTACCCATGACTCCCTCCATCTCTCCATCCATTCCCTTTCCTTCCCTCCCTCCTTCCCCTTCTCTCTTTCTCTTTCTCCCCCTTTCCCTCTCTCTCCCTCCTCCCTCCCCCCTCCATTATTCCCCTCCTCCCTCCCTCACTCCCTCTCTCCCTCTCCCTCCAGGTTCCCTAACCTCAATCTTCCAAGTGTTCCTGGGTGTGCAAGCCGGTATGGTGTTACAGTGCCACAAGACCCACAGAGGACGTATGGTGCGCTGGTTGCTGTGGTCAGCGGTCCTCGGTGCCATTGGGGCGGGGCTGTGCGGTGCCTCCATGAACGATGGTGCCATACCCGTCAATAAGAATCTGTGGTGAGTTATGAAGGAGTTCCGGTGGGTATGGGTTTGTGCTGTGGTGGGAGAGTGTGAACGGCTGAGTGAGTGGGTGGGTGAGTATGGATGGCTGGTGAGTGAGTGTTGTGTGTGTGGGGATGGGTGTGAGTGTGTGGATGGGTGAGTGTTGTGTGTATGTGTGTGTGATTTTGTGTGTGTGTTTTGTATGTGGAGATGGGTGGGTAAGTGCTTTATGGTGCTTATGTGTGGTGTGATATATCCGATCTTTGATTTCATGGTGTTGTTGTTCAATATTCCGTTGTTAATTAATATATAATTTTTTAAATGATGATGACTATGATAATGATGATTACTATGAATGTTATTTTTTTTTTGGGGGGGGGGAGGGGGGAGTGGTATGATGTGTTCGATTTACTTTCTTAGCGTTCATGTTATATTATGTTATATTTTCCCGCAATTCTTAGTTCAGTTTAAATTACTTTGCAATGATTTTGCTATAGTGCATGGATTGATATACAGTTCCATGTGATTTGTTGTACAGTACCCTATGGCGCCTCCAATGTGTCCCATCACAATACATTTTCAGTACTGCGATACATTTCAATCAAACACACCATTACCACGCAACGACGCCACGCCACATTCACATCAACGCACTTCCTCTTCTACCATCGACAGACAGAACAAACACGCTTTCTCCACTAAACGTAAATCCCACGGCCATAAACACTAAACGCAACGACAAGTCCAATAGTAGTTATGATAAATGGTATTGGGAGGAAGCCTAAGCACCCAATGACCGCTCTTTGTCGGGGTGGGGGGCTGTGTGAGCTCGAAGGAACAGCCATTGTACTGTGTAAAAAATGGAGTTGGGAATGTTGCTGTCGATGTTTTCATTATTACTTTTATTATTTGGTTCGAATTGTTGCTGTAGTACCTATTGATGTTATTACTTGTATTATTGATATAGTTATAATCATTACATTTATTGTTATCGTTGTTACTGTTATTATTATGACCTCCTCCAAGTTGTGAATACAGGTGTCTTAGCCCAACTTAGATGCCATTAAATATTGTAAGGCAATAGGGGTAACTATTATTATTATCAGAGAGAGAGGGTGGGATGGGAGGGAGGGAGGAGGAGAGGGAGAGAGAGAGAGAGAGAGAGAGAGAGAGAGAGAGAGAGAGAGAGAGAGAGAGAGAGAGAGAGAGAGAGAGAGAGAGAGGAGAGAGAGAGAGAGAGAGAGAGAAAAAGCAAGAGCGAGAGCGAAAGAGAGAGGTGGGGGCGGAAAGAGAGCGAAAGAAAAAGAGAACGAGAATGAGAACGAGAGACAAACAGAAACAGGGAGAGAAAAAATAATAAAAAAGAACTATCACACAAATTCATCTCCGTTTTCTCCCTCCAGGTCGCTCTCCTTCGTTATGGTGACGTCATGCTTCGCCTTCTTCCTGCTGGCCGTCTGCTACCTGCTGGTCGACGTCTGGGGCGTGTGGAGTGGCGCGCCGGTCTTCCAAGCAGGTGGGGATGTAAAGATGTCTTGATGTCTTCTCCTTTTCGTGAAGATTTCCACCCTCTCTCCGTCGCCCCATTTCTCGTTCCCTCCCTCCTCTTCCCTCCATCACCGTCTATCTCCCTCCTTCTTCTCCTCTTGTCGTCGCGATTTCCACCCTTTCTCCGTCCTTCTTTTTCTCGTTCCTTCTCCTTCCCTCCTTCCTTCCAACATTCTCCCCTTTAACTTTCCATTCCCCCCCTTTCTCCTCTCTCCCTCCCTCTTTTCTCGTTCCCTCTCGTCCTCCCTTCTTCCAACATTCTCCCCTTTAACTTTCCATTCCACCCCCCCCTTTTCTCCCTCTCTCCCTCCCTCTTTTTCTCGTTCCCTCTCGTTCCCTCCTTTCTTCCAACATTCTCCCCCTTTAACTTTCCATTCCACCCCCCTTTTCTTCCTCTCTCTCTCCCTCATTTTCTCGTTCCTTCTTCTCTCCTTCCTTCCAACATTCTCCCTTTAACTTTCCATTCCACCCCCCCTTTCTTTCCTCTCTCTCTCCCTCTTTTTCTCGTTCCTTCTCCTTCCCTCCTTCCTTCCAACATTCTCCCCCTTTAACTTTCCATTCCACCCCCCCCCTTTTCTTCCTCTCTCCCTCCTCTTTTTCTCGTTCCTTCTCTTTCTCTCCTTCCTTCCAACATTCTCCCCTTTTAACTTTCCATTCCACCCCCCCCCTTTTCTCCCTCTCTCCCTCCCTCTTTTTCTCGTTCCTTCTCCTTCTCTCCTTCCTTCCAACATTCTCCCCCTTTAACTTTCCATTCCACCCCCCCTTTTCTTCCTCTCTCTCTCCCTCTTTTTCTCGTTCCTTCTCCTTCTCTCCTTCCTTCCAACATTCTCCCCCTTTAACTTTCCATTCCACCCCCCTTTTTTCTCCTCTCCCCTCCCTCTTTTCTCGTTCCTTCTCCTTCTCCTTCCTTCCAACATTCTCCCCCT